AAATAACCCACAATGATAAATTTGAGGACTTGGAAATAATATATATTTAAAATTAAAATGAGATGAGAGAATCATACTTGTTCTTCATTGATGATATATCAATGAAACCAGATTGCCACCATGTATATATTCAGCTGAAGTCTGCATTGAAACCTCTTCTCTGATGAGCATTCTTGCATATTTTCAAAAAAGTATTTGTCACAGAATACTTCACATTAATAAGTATATATGAACATACAAAGTGGGTGCTACTTCAGTAGAACGGATTTATGAGAAGAAAATCAAATGCGAGTCTGAAGAGGAAAAAGCTGAGAAAGGATTTCAGAAAAAGGAGAGAAAGCAAAGAAATTTACAGATGATTAAGCCATAAAGTAGTACTAGTACTAGGCAGAATTGCATTTTCCCCTATCAGATCTCACTTAGTCTGATTAAAAGGTCTTTGCTCTTCAAATTTTCTTTGTGAAATTTTCACAGTGGAGTGTGATCTTGGACTTACTTCAATGCTTGGTGACTCATGGGTGTGTCTGAATGGTGTGTTGTTCATTATATAATAATCTCTCCAGCAATGTGCATCCTCTCTGCCTTCTCCCAATTCAATGAAATCTTAAATAAATATTTCCTAAAGGAATTCCTCCTGGAATTGTTTTTCAGACTGAGTATTGAGGACAGCCAGAGAAACTATACAGTAGCAGAAAAATGTGGAACAGCAATAGCATGGTAAAATAAACTAAAAATACTGGTAAAAGAAAAAGAATTTCTCAGGAGCTTTGAAAATATGGTTAAAAAACACACACCCAAAAGGAGTTTTTCAAAGAAAAAGAAAACTTCTGAGAAATGGCAAAACTGAGTTTGGACCCTCATTAGCTTTAATTGCCTGAAAGAAAACTCTAATTAAAAATGTCACTGTATCCATTATACTTTATTTCTGAATGAAATACAGTGTGAATAAATGATTAAAATATTCAACTTTAAATTTAAACTAGACTATAGTACAAGAACATTTTAACTCTCCTATAATTTTCTAATTAAAATCAAACCAACTAAAAACTCTGGACAGCATAACTTTCCAAGAAGCTAGAAAATTACCCCATAGTTTAAAAATAACTGTCTGTAAGAAATGTATTTATGTATTTCTCAGCAAGTTAATGTTACAATGTCTTGTACGGTTCAATGGCTGCTTTATTGAAAAAAAAGTTTAGCCCAGTCTCCCAAAACTATAGGAAAAAGAAGGAGATTGGCTCTAGAGACAACTTGGATACACCAGCAGTTTTTGAGGAAAGTTACTAATATATAGTATCATTTGTGAAATTCCACTCTCAAGCCATCTGTTATACTGTTATATAAACTATGAAATATAATGTAATGTAAACTATGAAAAAAGCAAATAATTATATATGTTTTACTGCAATTGACAGATGAGTAGATTAAACTGACAAAGATGAATGAAATCAAATCCTGAAATACTTGCAAGATGGTTCGGACCTATTTTTTTTTTTACCATCTAAATCAATTGTGCTTTAATAACATTTATTGAACCACCAAATTTAAAATTGTTTCAGGATGCTGCAGATGAAGACTTGTAAAAGACCCTGAAATTTTGAGAATTTTCTCTGCACATCTCCTTCAGCTTACCAACCAATCCAGGTTCTGCTGATTTGTATTTCATTCTATTTCTGCAGGGTTTCAGCACATTGTCTGTACTACTTATGACTAAACCTGTTTCTGACCTGGAACGCACTCCCTCAGGGGTGATCTGGGGTGTTAAATTGCCATTAAAATGACATCTGGATATGTGGTTGGAACTGGGTTTGAACACTATTCTACTGCTTTGTGAGTCAGTGTGAGTAAAAGTAGTAGTAATGGTAAGGACAATTTTTTTAAATCAGGTGGTTTGTTTTATTTCTGTTTTTTAAAATTAAAATAACTAGCAAAAACAATGACCTTTGCCAACATAGTTAATGTTGTATGAATTCATGGCTAATGTAAGACATGCTTCCAATGTGGTAGCAAAATGGAGCTATCTCTTCCATTCTGTGTACAAAACTGACTTGACTGACAGTTGAATTTTGGTTCAACATCCCAGATATCTTCACTATCCTAATAAGGCAACGTTCTTTTATCTATCTAGGGGACACAAGGAAAGCTGAATGGCATCCTTTTTTTATACACACAAGCTGATTGTCTCTGCTTGTTTATTGGTAAAACTAGTCTTCCATAGCCAGATCTAATTCATTCTTACAAAACAGTTTCTATTTACCTAAAATGGGAAAAGTCATTAAAAAATTAACATGATGCCTCTAGTTTCCTTTCAAGCAATAAATATCAATTTTTAGTGTCACAATAGTGTAATATATTAGAACTGATACATGGGGAAATAGATTAATCCCATTTATCTGGCATCACACACAATCAACTTCAGGCCTTATATACATATAGCTGTATTTAAGTTTTACTGGATAGCTGTTCTTTCTATGATGGACTATTCTATAACAGTCAAGAGAAGCAGATAACTTCTGCTATCAGATCTCCTACAACATCACCAGGAAGCGGGATTCCCCAGATTTGCAGATGAGGTTTCAGAGTGGAGGGATTTATCCTAAACTAACGATGTTCTTAATCTGCCTAGCTAAAAGCTATAGCACATTTGCAATCAGTTACCTAAAGCAGCACTCAAAAGAAAAAGGTGCCCAAAAATCCCTTGCAGAAGTGATGGGTGTCTCTTTTTAGATTTTAAATAGCAGCCTCTCAGAGGCAAAACAAAACAAAAGTAATATTTTCATCAGTTTGGTTTTAAAATGTCCATTTCCTTGAATGCCATTAGAGGTGTCCAGGTCTTCTGCTATATCCCCTCTTTCCTGCCACATGCACAGAATGTTCAGCCAAATGGTATCATCATCATCTTCATCATCATCATCATCATCATCATCATCACCACCATCCATTTATTTATATCAAAAAAGACATGTAAAACTGCAGAAATAATCTAATTAAATTTGCAGGATTACCATATAAAAACATCCAAAGTGGATCAAATTATCTCTAAACTTGACAATTGTATTTTTTCTTGGTTTCTGAAGCTCGTGACAAAAACAATAATCCCCAATAAAGAATTGGGCCATTTTTTTCTGCATTGAATCACTCCAAGAAAATAAAAGAAAACTATGCTTCAAATTGAGAAATCAGTCTGTATAGTGCCCTCTCCCCCATCCAAAATCAGAATTTATTGTAAAAACTGAGATTGTGAGATAAATATTTTGGATCCCTCTTTGTAATACTAAATAGTCTTACTTAGACTTTCAATGCTCGAAATGCAGATAATGTCAATATTTGAAATTATTTGACTGAACATTCGGAGTAGGAATGGAAAACTGAATTTTAAAGATTACTTTTAAAGAAACCACTCTCATTAATAATATTAAATGATTTGTCTTTTCTATGGAACTCTTTTCACTTTCAATTAAATTTTCAACCCTATTTTTAATAAATACACATGTATGAATTCACTTAATAATGTTTGCAGAAAGGATGCTGAAGTTGTAAGCCAAAGCACACTGAGTATGCCAAAGTAAACATGCTCAGATCTGTGAAGCAAGGACCATCTCTTGAAAACAAATAAGTATGTTCCACTGGTTGTCTCTGGATTTGCGGTTAGAGTTAAACATGCATTAGAAAATTGAGAGGACTAAACAAATTTCATATTCAGATTTTTTTTACTTAATTAGTTATGCTATTAGTTTTGCTCATAGTCCAACAGAATCTATTAGGAAAAAGAACTAATATCAAATAAATTCCTGCAGAATTCTCATATTGTAGGGTTTTTTTTACTGATAAAGAGCAGTATTATAGATTTCTTGTTTATTTGCTCTTTACAAAAACACACACTTTTTCACTTCAAGATTCTTATTTCTCTCTATCATTCTAAGTTCTTTTAAATCTTTATGTGTTAATAGCTCACCTCTTTTCTTTGACTGCTCATGAGTTAGTTTTGAATTGTAAACATGCATGAGCAAAGGTGCTAAAATATCATCCAATGGAGAAAATGTAGTAATGTCTGCTGTTAATTAAGCATACAGCTAATCATATATTTCAGTTATAATTTTCCTCTGTTGGTAGGCTGGTGTTCAGATTTCATAAGATTTTCATAACTAAAATACAAGCTAATTTTAAAAATACTGCTTTTTATAAGCAGATATACTTTCTGCTGTTTTATAAAGATACAATTAATATTTATCTTCAATATAGCCTCTTATAGCCATTCCTCTGAAGTCAGTTTTAAAATGGTATCTTAAGTCTATTGTAACTTTGTTTTATAATAAGTTTATGACAAAAGGTACTGAATGAAAATTGAATTAAAATACAAATATTCTTTTTTATATTGAAAATAACTCTTATAATCAAAACTACAGTGATATACAACCTACCTTTAAAAAAGCAATATGTGTTGTTTTTTGCAAATACAATATTTCTTCATTAACAAAAAAAATCTAATGATCTTTTTGTTTAAAAGTATGGACTCTCAGTCTTTCAGTAGTTTCAATTAGCACAGATTAAAATATAAACCCCATTCACAAACTTCATTTTAATCTAGGGCTTCTATTCCCTTTGACAACGTTCAAAATAATGGAATGTTAAAAGGAATGGAATTCTGGTTTGTGTGAAAAACCTTGTGACGTCAAAGCTTTGGTATAGCAAAGGGTTGAGAAAGAAAATGAAAATATGCATTTTGGAATCATGCAGACCAACCCCGTGTATCTTTACCTAAAAACAGGTACAACATCAGTTAAGATTTATTTCAGAAGAGAAGAGTCTAATATCCTAGCATCCAAACTTATCCAGCTTAATAATACCTTTGCTTGCATAGATGATTTTAAACATGGCTAAAATGTAACAGCAAAAAAAGTGTCACTCTGACAATTGCCAGAATGTTATAATAGTGGATTGTTAAGAATTAGTATCATACCATTTTCCTCTTGCAGATTAAAAGAAGCCTTAAGACTCACCTGTTCCACTAACAAAACGTTTTAAAAGTTTAATCCATCAGCGTTTTCAGGTCTTATCTTTTCCAGGATATCAGCTCTTCAAATTAATCTGATGTGGAAAGAATAACATTCTCTCCAGCTCTTATCCCGCTTGGTTAGTGACAGCTCTTTATGGATATCAGCAGCCTTGCTGAAGTATTATTGTAATCCATCCAAGCTTCCTAAGATTGCTCAAGAGATTAAGTCTGAAATATACATCATCTTTCATTTTGGAAGCTGCTCGACGCTCTCCCTGCTGTATGTCTTGCTTCTGAGATGCTTGGATTATCTCAAACTGGAGGTAGCACAGACTTGGCTATTTATACAGCTTCTGCCTTGGCTGCCTGGAAAGAGAAGGAAAGGAGCAAATGAATCTGAACTCTTTAGAGATGCAAAATGCTCTCACAGGCGTGGGCATTTCCCAAATCAAATAGTTTGTATTCATCAAACTGGAAGGCAGCCCCTGGATTCGAATAACTAAAGAAAGCAGGCAAAGATACACATGGCTGTTTGGAGATTCAATTCAGAATAACAAGAAAAAGGAACAAGTAGCAGCAGAAGAAACAGCAGGAGAGGTTGAGCATCTTGTGATTGCCTTGAATTACACTCTTTGGGGAGGGGGGATTTTTAAAAAAAACAAAACTGTTCAAATACAGCAAAACTGTCTTCTGGGGGAAAATCCATTAAAAGAGCTAAATTGTTCTACCACATTTATACAACATATGTTTTTATTTTGCTGATGTTTAAGCCTCACAGTTGTAGTGAAAAAGAACTAGATTCATCTCTGAGTTACACACACACACACACACACACACACACACACACACACACATTAAATCATTAAAATAATTAGACTATTAAACATCAAAGTTCAAATTCATGAGAAGACCTTTTGAAATATCAAAAGATAATTAACATTCTATGATTTCTGATAAAATGATATGGTTCATTCTCTCTCTCTTTTTTTATAGAGATTGTTTGCACTACTACCTTCTAATTGGTAGAGGTAACATCCTTTCTGGCCACAGGGCTGACCTGGAAGGGGTACTGCAATCAAACTGGTTGCTAAATCTTACTTGAACATTGGCCTCTGCAATATCAGAGGGTAGCGGGGGAGAGAGGCCAGACTGAACACAGCTCTGCCCTTCATCAAAATTAAATTGAACAGGGGTCTAGAGAGAAAGCTGTAGAGACTTCTCCCTCCCATCCTTTTGGTTCATTTACCTAAGGCTACTATTTCATTCTGGATAGAAAAGAGGAGGAGGAGGAGGAGGAGGAGGAGGAGGAGGAGGAGGAGGAGGAGGAGGAGGAGGAGGAGGAGGAGGAGGAGGAGGAGGAAAGTAACCCAAACCTCATCAAACACTACAAAGTCTTCTGCAGAAACAGCTTTAATGGGAGTCTTCTGATCAATGCTATAAATCTAAAATTTTCTAACAGATCTATGAAAATGATTATACTATTCAAACAGAATTTCAACATATTATAAGGTATGTTACAAAAGCAATGAAAACAGCTGAAAAGATTCTTTCTTAAGCATTTACAGATGGACCAAACAGGGAGAAAACTATCTATGACCCATTATCCCTCATGTCCGTCCACTAAGATTCAGAAGGACACAAGTTTGATCTATCCAAGACTACAGTTGTAACCCAAGCAAAATCAAGGGGAGAAGGAGAATTCCTTGAAGCTTGGTTCTCCATTAATAAGTCAATCATTGAAAATAAAAGTACTACTTCAACCACAATCCTGAAGGCAGCATTTAAAATGAAGAATTAGGCACCCCACCACACAACAAAAATCACAACCCCCAGAAGAAACCAGACCATGTTTCAACAACAACCAGCCAGCCAGCCAAACAACATGAAATCAGACCATGACTCAGAGGCAACCAAATGAACAAACACCATTTGCATCACACAGACGATACTTAAATATCAAAGACTATCGCCCAGCAACAACAATCAACCATTCAAACAGCCTGAAACCAGACCATGACTCAGAAACATTTGGACAAGTAACATCCACACCAATTTACATCGCACAAAAAGGTATTTAAAGGCCAGTGCTCTGACAGACGAGCACAATTCAAAGCATACTGAAGATGTCCCCCTGAATGGAGATGAAATGTTTACAGCCAAATTGCCAAGCTTGGAGATCAAACCAACAGCCCAACTATCCAACCAAGCTACTAATATTCAAACACATCTCATAGATGACAATTTTCTTGTCATTTTTGTCTGGTACCATTAACAAAATTATCCTTTTTATCTGAGTACATGAGTGCATGAATAGAAAACCCTATTATACAGCCTTATCTGTTCCATAAATAATAAAATATTGATGTAGACTAAAGTTGATCAAGAAATTCTAAATCCCTCCATGTTAGCAGCCTGAAAACATCAGACTACAAAACTGCCCCTTGCTGTCTGAAATACAAGCTAAACAGAGAAGTCCTAATGTAATTAAGAAAAGATGGCCAATTTACTCATTTTGTTTGATTTTTCTCAATTTCTCAGTTATCTATCCATGATTTCAATTAATCCTTTACCATACTAGTTTGATAACATATGATAAAAACAAATTAATTTTTAAGCCACCTGGATTCATCTATATGTGAGTTGGGCAGCTATATAAATTTATTTAATAAATAATAAAATGTTTATGTTGCATATTTCTCCTACCATACAAATATTTGCCGTATTATATGTATTCACTTTTCACAAAGTTAACACAATGCACTGTTATATTATTTTGTATAAATACATATATTTTGTGCCTCATTTTTCTAATATATTTTTCATTTTAATTGACAAATTAGCTTTTAAACTTCAGAGAGGTATAAAAGTTACTGCAGCTGCCAAAAAAGCCAACACAGAATCAAGATCATGTGAAATGTTAATACCACTTTATAAGGCCTTGATTACACTTGGAATACTGCATCCAGTGTTGGTTGTCATGATGAAAAAAAAGATGTTGAGTCTCTAGAAGAGCAACAAAGATGATTAGGGGACTGGAGGCTAAAACATATAAAGAAGTTACTGGAATTGGGTAGTGAAAGTTTAGTGAAAAGAAGGACTAGGAGTGACATGACAGCAGTGTTCCAATATCTCAGAGGTTGCCACAAAGAAGCTATTCTCCAAAGCACCTGAAGGCAAGACAAGAAGCAACGGATAGAAACTATTCAAGCAACCTGGAACTAAGGAGAAAATTTTCACAATTAATCAGTGGAATGACTTGCCTCCAGAAAAAATGTGGATGCTCCAACACTGGAAATTTTAAAAAAGAGATTGGACAACCATTTGTCTGAAATTATATAGGGTTTCCTGCCTGAGCAAGGGTTGGACTAGAAGACTTCCAAGGTCCCTTCCAACTCTGGCTAAGTGGGATTTGGCAGATGTAGTGGTTTGAATCTGAAACAGAACAATGCCTCTTCTGTAGGATAACAAAACCAAGTTTACTCTCAACTGTGGAAACTCACTTAATAACTTTGGGTGGGTGACTCTCAGGCACTCCACAGGCCTACTGTAGGAAAAATCTTGCAAGAGAGAATACTAAGTACTCCAGCTTGACATTTTAAAGGAAAACTAGGATATCATCTAAGTAATAAACAATCATTTCTTGAACTGACTTCAAGACAAAATAAAAACAGGCTTCCTCTTTCACAAAAGCAATGGTACTACTGTTTGCAACTACAGATAGTCCTCAACTTATAATCATTTGTTTAGCAACCCTTCAGAGTTATGACCATACAGAAAAATGTGACTTATGACTGGTCCTCACACAACCATTGCAGCAACACTGTATTCATATTACCAATTCCAGGGCTGGGCAATCAGCATGTATTTATGATGGCTGCTGTGTCCTGAGGTTGGAGGATCATCATTTGCAACCTTCCTGGGTGAATTCTAACAAGCAAAATCAATGAGGAAGAAGGATTTGTCTAAGCACCACATGGTTCACTTAACAACCCACCACAAAAAGGCTGGAAAATCCAGCATGACTCACTTAATGACCACATTTCTTAGCAACAGAGATTCCGGTCCCAATTGTGGTTGTAAGTCAAGAACTATTTGTATTAGTAATTATATCTCAGAAACTACATACTTAGGAATGTGAGTTAAGCGGTACACAGTATGTACATACTGAGAGATCATTATTGACTAGTCCATTAGTGGTATGAGTTGGTTTTGCATGTCTCTAATAATTGTGTCTAGTTTGAGTCAGTGTGCAATTGTTTAGAAATAAATATTAAAAGTAACATTTATTTCTATCCATGGATTTCCCTATTTTGTATATTTTTTCTAATATACAAATATTTATATGCAATTTTTCCATATTTTTCTACATGGCTTTTGAACTAAAAGCTCCATCATATATGCAGTCTGAAGAAAAACCTTTTTCCAATCCATGTAATATTAATCTATATTATGAATTAAATCAGTTTTCTTAAACTTTGGATCAGATATAATTTTCCTATATATTTGTCTGAAAGTAACTGCTGTGTGTCTTTGTGTGCAAGAAAGGTAGAAAAATACTATTCATATGTGTCAGAATAAAAAATATACATACTTTGGAGAAAAAAAATCTAAGAAAAAATGCAGAAATATAAGTAGTAACTGCCTTTCAGATCAAGCTATGAATTCATCTGGTCTAATATTCCTTTTTCAATTGTATTGTTGGGAAAACCAGCCAGGCTGGGGGGGGGGGGGAGGCCTCAAGCTTGGAATTAGCCTCAAGTCTTTGTACATTCTCAAGAGATCCTGGACTAACCCCCTTAAGCTCTATAGAGCCTTATCTATTCATTCTCAGGCTGAGGCTGACAGTCTGGGGAGATTCCTATATAACAGGGAGAAAAAAATAAAGTAGTAATCTTAAACTCTACATATGTGGGTTGCTTGCTTGTGCCTAACAGGTATGTAGCCAAAGATGATGGTGATAATAGTTGGGTGTTAGTCTCTAGCATCTGGCTTCCGCAACTACGTTCTCATTAAACATTGAATCCAAGTCATATGAAAATTGATTAGGAAAGTTGGTCTTTGTCAGAGAGGAGAAGGACATGACAACAGTTTTGAAATATCTGTGGGATTGTCATAAAAGATAGTGAACCAAACACATTTTCTGTTGCTCCAGATAGCAGAGTTAAAACCAATGGTATAAATTGCAGGATACTAAATGTCAGATTCCATGCTAACAATAAGAGCAATTTTATGATCGAAAATGAGAGGGGGTGATGAGTAAGTCCTTTCTCCCTTTGAAGTACTTAACTATCTAAACTGGCATCTTTTGGGAATGCTGTAGTTTTTTCCCATTACCTAGAAGAGCTCCATTACATAACCCCCAGTTTCCCTACAAATACTACAGTTTTATGGATGTTTTATGTGACTATCATTAGATATTGAAAAACACTGGACTGTGAGGAGCACTACATAATTCAT